GGAGCCGCAGTCTGCACTGGGGAGTGGAGCATGGTGCTGGCCTTCGCCCTCTGCCTCCTGGGCAGCTCCGCTTTGCTCCTGGCCACCGTGGATGAAGCTCGAGGTAAGGGAGACCGGCAGGGCGTCTGCACCTCTGGGGCCTTCCTCCTGCAACCCTCCTCCTCCTCATCGCTGCTCCTCTCCTCTCTGATCCTTTCGCTTTTCCCTGCAAAGGGTCGGATCAGACCCAGGGTTGGAAGCATGCAGAAAAGCCAGGAAAGGCTTTCATCTCACCTGGTGATTGACCTAAAATCCTGGACACCCGTTTCTTGCCAGCCGAGGGAGCAGCGGGTCCCCCAGCAGCATGGGGAGGGGTCCGGCACCCCGGGGACACCCACCCTGGCTGCAGCCTCTGCTGCGTTCTACTGCTCAGGGATCAACGGGCTGCATGGAGACCATCAGCACGGTGCCTGTCACAGGCAGGACCAGCTCAAGAGCCGTGTAGGTAACCAGCATCTTATTTCCCTTTTCCAGCTACCCAGTGCCCGTTCCCACGCATCCAAAATGGGAGGAGAGCATCCGCTGCTCGCCATTTCTACAAGCTCGGGGACACCGTAAGCTTCGCCTGCAACACGGGGTACACCTTGCAGGGCTCCCGCACCAGCACGTGCCGAGCTGGCTTCCGATGGGACCCACCTCTGCCAGCGTGCAAAAAGGGCAAGTGTCCCAGCGCGGGGGAAAGCTCCCTCAGAATATTACCCAAACAGTCCTAGCAGCACATAAAATGTCAAACAGCTGACTCACAGGGAAATTTCTTTTCCCTCTCCAGAGGTGACATGTCCTCGGCCACCCAACATCGCCAACGGGCTGCACAGCGGCCAGTCCTTGCGCAAGTTTCTGCTGGGAGCGACCGTGTACTACAGCTGCAAGGATGGCTACGAGCTGGTCGGGAACATGTCCACCAACTGCACGGAGAGCGGAGCATGGAGCAGACCCCGGCCCCGCTGCAAAGGTGGGTGGATGCTGCACTGGTGGGCGTGAGGCTGGCAGAAAGGATGCTGGGTGTCCTGGTGCAGGAACAGGGCAGTGATGAGAGGGGAGGGGGCTGTGTGTGCAGGGTCTGGCCCGTGCATTGACATTTAAAGGATGCTGTCCATGTTCCTTGCAGCAATTGGATGTAAGAAACCCAAGGTGCAGAACGGGAAGGTCTACAATCCGCAGGACACCTACAAAGCAGGAGAGACCCTTCAGTTTGACTGTGATGCTGGTTACGCTGCAGAGGACAGCTACGAGAGT